AAGGGAGGATTTACAGTCACAGACCTTATCTGGCTTGGAGAGCTGACAGGTCGATATCTGCAAAACCTGACAGGGAGTCTCAGAGAGTCCCGAACCAATTAAGCGAACTAACTGCCTCCTGCAAACTCCACTCCACTTTCGCTCCTCTTTTATTTCCTCTGGGAGGGGCCATTCATTATCCACCTGTGGCCTTATTCCCAAGTCCACCCTTGTTCCTTAGCTGTTCCCTTCGTCTGGCAACTCTGCGCATGCACACACTGGGAACAGGCTCCAGCTGTTCATCTGTCTCACTGATATCTGATTCCAAAGGCAGTTGATAACTGTCAGACAGCCCTGGCCCCCTCTCTGTCTCCACCTTAGAGCCCTCCTCCGAGCTTTCCCCAGACTCCAGGAGTGGCCCATGTTCCTCCGCAACCTCCTCACTGTCCAAATCTGCAGTGGTGAGCCACAACAATGTCTTTCCTAGCCAGTCTTTATGTTAGCTAATGATGCTTTGCCACTATTAGTTTAATCACTCTCTATCAGTCTAGCTGCTTACTCAGAAATGTCCTCATATCTACTATGAAAATTCAGGATGAGCCAACCAGAAGCTGTCACTGCTCCGCTGCTAAAATAGCATGGCTGGATTTTATTCCATGCAGTGGCCAGCCAGATGCCCCTGGAATGCCCACAAGCAGGATGGACACGTCTTCCTCCAATCTTCTACTGCAATTCTTATTTGAAGGCATGCCTGTCCCCGACCTAGAAGTAAGCTGGAGTCTTCAAGACACCTCATTGTCCTCTATCATCAATCAATCCTTCTTGGAAGTCAGTTTTTTGGTACGGTGTCCAAAGGGAGTACCAGAATCTGCCTCCAACTATGATTTCAAAATCATGACAATCCTACAGTGGAAGGTTGGACTCTCCTAGCCAGAGGTGGGTTCTGATCGGTTCGGACTGGCTCGGCCAAACCAGTAGTAACTTGGTCGCTGGAACCCGCAGCAATCCAGGCCTGCCATGCCCCTGAACCGGTTCTCTTGGTGGCACCATAGGCGCTGCCATCTTGTTTTTGCCTTTTATGTATGCACAAAGCAATTTTTGTTGCACTGCGGACCTGCGTCGTCTCCCTGAGCGAACCGGCAGTAGTGGCACCTACTGCTTCCAGCAATCTAGTCATCCCATTCTGGACTTGTTGTAACTTTCAGATCATCTCCAAAAACTGCACTACATTGCATTCGCCAGCTGTGATCAGCCATCCATCAGGCTTCCCCCCTCCTCTCTCTCTAGTAGCATAAACATTTTGCTAGCTGCAAAATTGTCCTAAATCCAGATGTGAAAATCTTAGGACACTATAATAAGTTTGCCACTATGGGGGCAAAAGAGAAGCAAAAAGAAATGGGAACTGGAGATTGGTGGCATTCTACCTAGGGAAACGCAGGCTGTATTGCAAATAATCACAAAGCAAATCAGCTCTGTTTCTTGTTAGCGGTCCAGAATCACAGGGGTGCAACAATCATCCACCACCTACACCAAAAATTCCACAGGCAATTGTCCCTAATTTGACAGAACAGGATTTGAACACTTTATTTTCTGGTAGATCTTGAGATGTTGACATTGCCCCTGTTTCTAACGGAACGTGGGAAAAGTTCTTGCAAGTTTTGCTTAACCAAAAAAAAAAAAAGAAGAACAAAGTTTTAACATATTTTCTGTCTTTAGGTGAAGCTTTGCCCTGCATAATCCCTGGAATCACTGGTCCACCTGGACTTCCGGGACCTTCAGGGTTTCCAGGTAGGTGGTTTTGGGCTTTAACCCCAGCTTCTTCTGGCAGTCAGAAGACATGGTGAAAACTCTTCCATTTCACAACATATAGACAGACTTAATCGTAGCTTCAATTGGGAAAATGAGACCATCCTAGACCAAGCCAAGTCCAAGAATGCCAGGGAATTTCTAGAAGCCTGTCTCTCTGACAAATCAGCCATCGTCAGACACATAGACATCAACAACATCTATAGACTATGCAACAGGGTGGCTCAGTAGCTAAGACGCTGAGCTTGTTGATCAGAAAGGTCAGCAGTTCAGCAGTTCAAATCCCTAGCGCCGCGTAAGGGAGTGACTCCCATTACTTGTCCCAGCCTAGCAGTTCGAAAGCATGTAAAAATGCATGTAGAAAAATAGGGACCACCTTTTGTGGGAAGGTAACAGTGTTCTGTGCGCCTTCGGCATTTAGTCATGCCAGCCACATGACCATGGAGACATCTT